TTGACTGGAGCTAAATGATTGGTAGCCAATCCACACACTTTTGTGTTCACTCTCTAAAGGGAAAAAAATGTTTCACAGTGCCATTTTGAGTGAGGAGGAATAACATAACTTGATATTTTCTAAAGCCTTATTATTTCATACTGAATTTTGTTTCCTTAAATTTTGGGATTACGAGGAAAAATCATAGATACCCTGAACATCAGCCCAAGAGCCTTGTTAGGAGTGGTACTGGTACCCAGCAGGATTGTGGTACAAATGGTATTACATTTTCTTGAACCTACAAAACTCAATCCAAGCCATTTTTTTACTAGTTTTTTAGCACCACAGATCTATTATATTCAGCAGTATGTATGATACGGTCCTTGGTAGTACCTTCTACTTATGCTATATCGGTATGCCAGAACAATATTTATGCACTGATTTTTTCCATGGAATTTTGTTCAGCTAGGAACCAAATCTAAATTGCTCGCTGTATCATGCTCCTTTTCTGATATAATTGCTTTGTAAATGGGTACCCATTACAGTGATCAGAATTGATAGCTAGCTACCAACTTTTAGTTGCTTACTACCCATTAGAGCCAGCTGCCAACTCTAAGTTGCTAGCAATCAATTCATTAGTTAACATGCTTCGTTCAGATCTTGAAGATAAAATATTTTCTATTCTGAACTATGAGAACTGAAAAAATTAGCCATTGGTTTGTGTGCTTATGGTGTCAGAACTGACAAATTTCGTGCATTTTTTTCCTGTTGTAATTTTGAGCCTGTTCGCTGGTTGGTTTCTGGGCTGATAAGCCCGGCTGGTGCTGGTTTGTTGTGAGAGGAAAACACTGTTGGTTGGCTGATAAGCCCAACAAGCGAACAGGCTGAATAGTTGAATGATGTCCAGACTTTTAAGTGATTATTTATTGTGGGTCTTAAGTTTTATAATTCTTGAGAACTGCAGGGAGGCATTGAGGTTGGATTATCTTACTCTTATTTTGAGAGAGCTGACTGACCCACTGAAAAAAATGTCAAAGGTTGTTTTTTCATCTTTACCTCATGAATGAGCTCCATCTTATCGTTTATCCATCATTGTTGGTCTCATGATGATAATAATCCCCAGTGCTTTATTAGGTGTTTGGAATTGGTCCCAAACTTTGTTGTTTTTCTGAAGTCTTGAAAATAGAGATGCCACACAACTGATGAATGATGTAATTAAATTTTGCTTCAAGAATTCCCACAGATGACAGAACTGCAGATGTAAGAAATTAAGACTGTAGAAGTAGTATTCTATGCCAACTTTTGCAGTCGTCCAAGCACCCTACCACAGATCGTATGAACTCTGAAATGCATATCTTAGAAGTTATTATTCTTTCTTATTGTTCTTTTGTTCAGAAAATCTGTGTAACAACTGAAGTTCTGTGGCTGAATTGCTTAGTAACCTACCATAACATGGAGTTGCTGAATTGCTTGATCAGTAACTAGCATTTGTAGCTCTTATTTTGTAATAATCTCAAATACAATTCCCTTGTAGAAATATTTTATTTGAGCATCTGCTGGAAATTTTATATTTTCAATTCATTCAGGATGAAGCTGTTCAAAAGGTGGTAGAGTTTATGGATACATACTCTTTAAGCCAGGAAGACTTTGACACGATTGTGGAAGTATCCAAATTTAAGGTTGGTAATATCCTAGAATCAGTTTGATGTTTGTTTGTCTAATGTCATGTTCACTTGATCATCCTTGAATGGTCACAGATAATTTTTGCATTTGCATTTGTGTTTGCGTTGAGAATTTTCATTTTGGCAGGTAATTTTGCATGGTCCTTTGTGTGAATGGCTTTTATCATTCTTAATAGTTTTGAGTAGTGTGTTCAGGCAGTAGCCTGTTCAGCACTTCAGCTATTGTGTTCATCCTGTGCATTTTTCTTGCATTGTCGCCACGTCATGTCAACCGTTAAATATGTAATGGGTACATATCTTAGAAATCTGCAATCATGTGATTTATGGATATTGGATACAAAACTATAGTGACTTTGAAATACAACAAATATGTTACAGAACTTGTAGATAAATGCATTTATCGAATTAACATGTTGGAAGCATTTATGCAGTATTGCCCCTAGCTGAGTAAACTTGTTTTTCATAGTTTACCTTTGTCTTCATTCTCTGTCATTGTGGATCTGAATAAATTTTATTTTATAATGTAGGGTCATCCAAGCCCTATGGATGGGATTCAACCTGCTGTTAAAAGTGCCTTGACAAAGGCATACAAACAAGGAAGTAGTTCTCGTGTTGTTCGAGCGGCAGATCTAATAAATATTCCAGGCATGAAAAAGCCTTTAAAGAAACGAGTGGCGGCAATCTTGGAGCCAGTAGAAGAGAGCCTGCCTGAAGAAAATGGACTAGCATCAGCTGAAGATGATTCTTCTGATACTGAAAATAATGGTGCGTGTCCCTTTCGCATATAAGTGATATAACAAACAGAAAAAATCAGGTAGATGCCTGTTTGTTTGACTAATGTGTCAGGCATTTGGATAAAATGGATCTGTTTTGAGGCAACTTTGTGGTGCCACACTGTCTTCATCTAATGCAATTGTGAAATTACTCATTTTTTATGGAGATTTGTAGCAACATTCAAGTAAATACAAATTGAGATCATAGAAACATGAACTTGTGATATAGCTACACCTAACTATAGACCGGTTAATGCTAGAACTATAAATAATAGTACTTCTGACATTAAGACACACCATACTAACATATGGTATAGCCAGTTCTATTGGAAGTTTTTAGTCAGTTGGATGCTATAGAAGTTGCATCCATTATTACAGTTGCTAAAGCGTTTTTAGTCAGTTGGATGCTATTGGAAGTTGCATCCAAAAAGAAATATTCTTTCCATATGACTTGCTGTCTAATCATTTTTTTCTTCCTTCAGATGAACTTGTGCCTGCTGACTCTACGCCGAAGCTGGACCTGCAAAGTGACAAGAAGAAAGGTTCTCATACTTGTTGGGCATTTGCTACTAGCCTATATATCCCTCTGAATTCGCTGCGTCTAACTTTTCGGTAACCTCATTTGCTTCCAGGAATCCAAGTCCAGCTTGACCTGAAGAGCAATGGGAATGGCTCCGGTGGGAAGAAGGCGCCTGCCGCCAGATCAAGGGCGACTGGGTCGGGTGGGAAGGCTGCTGCGGGAGGAGGTTCGGCTGGGAAGAGGAAGAGGTAACTGAGACATTCGCCGCCCACAGTTGGTCGGCGACTAGTTTGGACGGATCCCTTGGTAAATAAGGAGCAGGGTGAGGTTCAGAGTTTTGCTTGTACATACGCTCATCCAATGGCACATGTAGGCACTAGGCTACTGTACCTGCTCCCATGTCTTCTCCAAGGGCGTCCATGTCTCGTTACCAAAATTTGTTTGCATTTAGGCAGTTAGGCTACTTCCAGGCTGACAAGCGAGAGTTTGATGTGGTATGTTTCATTTGTGAATTTGTCAATGCTCAATACCACGGGCCGTTGGCTTTATCTCGACATACTGCTTCGTATTCTATTTTGCCTTTGCACGGCATCTTTTTTACAGTTTGGATCAAGGCAGTATAAAGGGCAGTACCGAGGTATTAGGCACGGAAGTGGGAATACGGAGTACCTAGTTCATCATTTGTGTTATTGTGAAAGGAGAAACAAGGTTGCTTGGTGGTGGTTTACTTATTTAGGGTAAAATACACAAGACGGTCTTCTAACTTGGCTCCAGATGTCATTCAGGTCTTGAAACTTTCAAAATGCACATTTAGGTTCTAAACTTACTAATCATGTCGTGTCAGGTCCAAGTGACCATAACATCGTGTCAGACAAAATGACCATAACTAGAGTTCATCAGCTTGCGTGACACGTTGATTGTACGATGGCATTATGACCATAGCAATTTGGACCTCGCATGACACAATTAGCAAGTTTTAGGATAAAAACATGCATTTTGATAGTTTAGAGACCTAAATGACACCCGAGCTAAGTTCGAGGACTGTTGGTGTATTTTACTCCTTAGTATACCAAGAATGTTATTTCCGTGTAGTTGTGAACTGAGATTGACAACTACGACTTTTCTAAGTAAATAGATATGGTTGTGCACCTACGACAAAAGCTATGCATCAAGAAAAAACTAAAACAACTTATATGCTGATGTTATGGACGACTTACCCCCTGTTGTTGCATGCTTTTTTTCAATGGACCGAATTGCCCTGTAGCGGACAAAGGATAAGCCCGATTCCTATCAGCAATAATTTCTCGTACGTGTGGCTGAACATGACCGGATACTTTTTCGCCGGCGGCGGCTTTTGCAGAGGCGTTTGCCGGTCGCGGCATGCGAGCAGTCGCGGGCGGGCCGTGTTTTAAGTAGCTGAATCGCAGGGGCCATAGTTTAAGAAAACAGAAGAAGTACCTAAGACACAACAGACTAAATCGTTGCATAATTTTACAAATTTTTATAGGACACTTTGAAGGTGTTTCAAAATGTAAGGCTTTTAGTTTTGTCATAAATCAAGCTTTTCTAATTTTAACTATAAAAAATATGTATCAATATACTAGTGTTTTATAGTATGTTGGTTTACTTTTTTTTGAAGTAGTTTAACATATGACCAAAACTCAAACATGTTATATTTTTCGGAACAAAGATGAGTAGCGTTTTATAAACCTCGTCATATCAATGGCGCTTCAACGAGTGCACCTGCTGCTTCAAAACTAAAAATAAAATAAAATAATGAAATGCACCTGCAATAGGGCTCCCTTTTGGTGAGCACGAAGTTACCCATCCTCCCAGCCTGCAAAAGTTCTACCACAGTACTCTCGACACCATTCATCATCATAAGTTGTTTTTTTTTTCTTCATTTTTCTTTTTCTTTTTTGTTTTGTTTTGAAAAGAATTGACAACCAGAGTGAGCTACTCGTACTCGACATTCCACGGCCGGCGCGCCCTTTTCCCCCATCCGCGACTCATCCAAGGGGGAGGAGCGCCGCCTCCGATCCGCCGATGACGAGGGCCCACCTGCAAACGGCGGCCGCGGCGCAGCGGCGGCCGACGGTGGCGCTGCTGCTGGGCCTGGCGCTCGCCTTCTGCCTCGCCGTCCTCTCCATCCAGTCCTCCTTCTTCGCCGCCCCAGGTACGGGCGTACGGCCTTCCGTCCCACATTCCCAAACCCTAGCTAGCCCATCTCATCGGGCTGACGCGCTCGCCCTTGCTCTCCCGCAGGGGCGCCGGGCAGGAGGCTGGATCTGGACGCCGACGACGTGCGCGAGCTCGCGGGGTTCCAGTCCCGCGTCCAGCAGTGCGTGGTAAGTCTCCGCAATCGCTTCATGCTTCCGCACGGAACACAACCGTTTTAATTTCAGCCGTGACAAGAACCCATTTGTTTCACATTTATGCTGCAATGCTATAGCTAATGTTACAATCGTGGTGACTGGGAGCAATGATGGGCTGACACTGATGCACTGATGCTGTAGCTATCAAGGACTTTAGTCCAGTCACACATAGGTTCTTCCGAAGTTACAGCAGTTTCTCAACCGTTGATTCACGCTACTCATAAAAGCTATTATTGTTCCATGTCATGTAGTGGGATTGCTCATTTTTCTTTATCTTTCTTGTGATAAGTGCAGAGTATATTCCTTGATTATGGCTATTGGTAATTGGGCATTCACGTTTTGTAACTGTTGCTGCAAGGTCAACATGGATAGTCCGGTTGATCTTAGTATCTCTGATAGGCTGCTGTTCATTGCTGAAAACTTTTGTACCCATTGTTATCTCTGATAGCCTGTTGTTCATTGCCTGGTATTTGTTTAATATGTTATCGCTGGTGTTTGTGTCCCCACATGAGTACAGAGGCAAAATAGTCATCCAGTGCAACCACTTTCAGCTCATTTTGTAAACCTTCTAAAGACATGAAAGTCTTGCGACTATATGCAATGATTGCTCAGCTTGGCAGTGCAAAGCTTGCTTACTTATTTTTCTTTTGTTGTTTGACCATCTTCTACCTTGCTTCTGAAACCTCGTCTTTATTTAGGCTAGCAGAGGACTTGGTCTCACAGCAGATGTTATTGATCATTGCAAGCTGGTCCTTAAGTTTCCTGAAGGAACCAACAGCACCTGGGTCAGTATTCCTCCCATTTTATGGCCAGTGGCTGCTATTGCTCACCCAGAATCATGGGTTAAAGATTCATCTGTGATGATATTTCTTGAACTTTTTGCAGTATAATTCCCAGTTCAAGATTTTTGAACCTCTAGAATACAAATATGATGTCTGTGAAACTATCCTATTGTGGGAACAGGTTAGGACATTCTTCTAGACTAACATGTTTGCTCTTGTTACTTTACTTGTATGCTTGTGATAATACTAATATGATCGCAGTACCGCAACATGACAACTGTATTGACAAGGGAATACTTGGATGTGAGGCCTGATGGATGGTTGGATTATGCGGCTAAAAGGATTGCACAGCTGTAAGCTTGAGATTTTTTTTCATCTTTTCTTTTAAAGTGAAATCAATCTCTCCACATTGGTAATAATTCTTTTGATTTCCAAATGTGCAGTGGTGCTGATAAATGCAACAACCATACTCTCTGTGATGAGCTCCTTAGCATTTTACTGCCTGCTAAACCCCCTTCCATCCACGCCAGTTTGCGACATGTGCAGTTGTTGGTAATTCAGGAGATCTCTTGAAAACAGAGTTTGGACAAGAGATTGATGCGCATGATGCTGTGTTTCGGGACAATGAGGCACCTGTCAATAAGGTATACATGTTGCATTATTTATCAAATCTATCTAAACAGAAGTTTTGCAAATGAGCCTGTACCTTATGATTCATATATTACTTCTCTTTCTTATTTCTTGAGCTTAGCACCTCATTTTCGTAGCTGTGCTGACAAATTATTTTCTCTTGAGTATCAATATGGAATAGCCATTGGTTACTGATATTATTTATGTTTTCTTCTGTAGAAATATGCTAAACATGTTGGATGGAAAAGGGACTTTCGACTGGTTGTCCGGGGTGCTGCTCGAAATATGGCACCAATACTGAAGGGCTCCTGTAATGCTGTAATCCTGATTTCTTCCAATTTACTATTTGTCCCTTCTATATAATATGCTGTAGTCCTGATTTATATGATATATGTAACTACATTCGTGGTAACAAACAAATGCAAACTTACTATCCTTTTTACAAGTTCAATTTATGGTTCTGAAGTTGTTGTTATCAAATAGAGTTTAGACATGTGGTAAATATTTCTGTTATGGCATGTGAGGGCTGCTTTTGAAACAAGATGTGACTGTCTTGCTTTCCCTTGCAGCTGATGAGGCACTTATCATTAAAAGTTTGACGCACAAAGAAATCAATGCGGTGATAAAGGTAACAGATCTGCATATTGTTTCATTGAGCTGAGTTTGTGATATAAACTAATTTTACTTAAGTGTTATGAATCATGGAAGGTCATGCTCACTTATATTGAACATGGGTTACTTGCAGGAACTTCCAAATCCTGTCTACCTTTTCCAAGGTATAGTTTTAAGAAGAGGTGCTAAAGGAACTGGCATGAAGTCCATAGAACTGGCCCTTTCCATGTGTGATATTGTTGACATGTATGGTTTTACAGTTGATCCTGGGTACACAGAATGGTGAGTTAACGAATGGCTACAATACTGAGTATTTCAACATTAACAAGGCAGCTGGCGCTATGTTTCCCTTTTTGTATAAATATATATTCTTCTCACTCCATATTATTTCAGGACACGGTATTTCACAGGCCCTAGGAAAGGACATAATCCACTGCAAGGCCGAGCTTATTATCAACTTCTGGAATGCCTTGGGGTAAGCCTCGACCTTGTTATCATTATGGTCTATCTGCATAGATTTGTCCTGACCTTAGTGATAGGTCATTCGTATTCATTCTCCCATGAGAGCACAAAGGGTGGAAGATTGGTCAGACATACCAAGCAAAGAAGAGATCAGAAGGGCACACGCTGCAGCTTTTCATCTAAAAAAGCATGAAGCTGGCCAGCCAGCTGAGCTGGGGCCATTTAGCAATTGCAAGGTGTGGGGAACAGTTGACCCTGACTATGGACCGGTATCAGGCACTTCAGATATGAGTGAGACACGCAAGAATTCAAACTACAGCAAGTGGGAGTTGCTTCCACTTGAGAAGCTGAGAAGAGAAGCTCAGGAACACCATATCCAAATGGGTGGCGTGTCTCTATACAAGATGGATGGAAACAAGTTGGATGATCTTGTCTGTGTGAGGCACCAGCGTTCATCAAGTTAAGACCGTGGCGCCTAAGCCTGACCAAAGATAGTGTTTTGACACTTTTAGGATTTGTTTCATGGTGGTTCTGAAAGGATGCTAGACAGCAGGAGGCAAAACATCCGATGAAACTGCACGCGTTGCTGTATCCACTTGTAAAATTACATGAGGCATTGGGTTCAGAGCCCGGCAGCCGTACCTGGAATAGGGAATTCTTTTATTGGTTGTTTAGGTACCTCTAGCCTTCTAGGAACAGCTACTTAAGCTGTCTATAAGAGGTTGTTATGTAGACGAAACATGACATGGTTTTCACTTTTTGACACAGCTGTAACTAAATGCTAAAGGGGTCTTGCCATTTCTCAATTATAAGGTGCATTTTGTCACCAATCCAGCAGTCTCGATTCCAAATTTGTGACGTTCGTTGTTAACTGACTCTCATCTGACTGTCCCAGTTGAGTTCATTACCAGAATTATGTGTGAATCTTGTAAACTGATTGAGGACCTCTGCAACAACTGCCCTTAGCTGCCTGTTACCCAGTAGCCCAGATATATAATATCTAATTCACAACCTTTCTCTCTCTCTCTCTCTCTCTTTTCCAAAAGTCAGTAGCCCAGATATATAATTTCTAATTCACAACCTTTTTCTTTTTTTTATCAAAAGTCTTGGACCAATACTGGCTTTGTCTGGCCAATTTATAAATTTAACAAAAAACAAGGACAAAATTGGATGACCAATACTGGCTTTGTCTGGCCAATTTATAAATTGAAAAAAAAAACAAGGACAAAATTGGATGACCAATACTGGCTTTGTCTGGCCAATTTATAAACTGAAAACAAAACAAGGACAAAATTGGATTGGGGTTGTCCATAGCAATGTAAATAAATTGGGTTCCATTTCCACCCCTCTTTGTACAGAATGACTGGTACGCAACAGTTGTTTTTGTCAGCTAAAAACAGAGGTTCACGAACTATAATGGTCCATCCAACTTAAGGTTATTCACAAACAAGGATGCTCCATACACCTTAAGGTTGATACACCATCCTAGTTCAAGCAACATAATGGAAGAATAAATAAAACCTAGTGGTTCATACAAGGTGAACCCGAGCTATTGAACCGCCGAGTCATGATCTCATTCTGCAGCATCTTGTAGTACTGCTGTTGTATCCCAGGCATGCCGCTAGTGTCCTTAGTCATGATTCTCTCTTCTTCTAACATGATCTTCAAATCCACCTCTTTGCTCTTCAAGTCCAATTCTTTCCTCTTTATCTTGAGGCTCCTCGCCTCATTAGCAGCCCTGGCTTGTTCTAGCGCAATCCTCTCCTGTTCTAGCGCAACCTTCTTTTGTTCCAGCGCATACTTCTGTTCTAGCGCAACCTTCTGTTTCTGTTGTTCTAGCGCAACCTTCTGTTGTTCCAGCGCATGTTTATCTCTCATGTTTGTCTCTCTCGCCATTGTTGTTGTTGATCTGTCTCTCCGCATCAGCCTGTTCGTCTCTGTCGGTATCATCCTGTTCATCTCCCTGGCCATTTTGAGCTCTCTCCCCTCATTAGCCGAGTTCCTCTTCCCCCAAAGATCATCTGATGCCTCCAGGTAATACAAACCAGCTCCACCTTGCTGTAAATTCTCTTTCTGCTTATCCACATCCACTGGCTGTACCAACACCTCGCAATCCTGACCTGCAGCCTCTAAACTGTCGTCAAGAGCAAATGGCGGAGTCGACTAGCTTGGGCTCGAACCGGGAGTCGTCTTCTGTTTCTTCTGAGACGAGTAGGCCGCCACCTGGGTCTGGGACTGGGACGACGACGACCGGTTGATCCACGCCAGCTTCTGCGACGACCTCTCGATCCACTTCTGGTGCGACCTCAGGAGGTTCCAGCAGTGCAGGAACTGGAACGACTTGTTCTTCTTGTCCTCAGACTTGAACAGAGCCAGCGCCTGCACCACCTGCAAATACAACAATGAAAGAAAATACGTCACACCAACGTTCCAGACTGACTGCACACGACAGTGAAAAAAAAAATGTCACAACGAACCAAGAACACGAGGACAGAGAGAGCAGCGTCGGTTACCGTACCGTGTCCTGAGGCGTGAGCGAGTTGTCGTCCTGCTGGCCGTCGACGACGTCGGCGACGCATCGGTCGAAGCGCTTGACGTTGTCCTGGATGGTGGACCAGCGGTGGAGGAGCGAGTTCTCGCTGCGTTCCGACTCGAAGTCCCTGCGGGAGTGGAAGTAGTCGTGCATCCGCTTCCAGTAGGGCGCGCGCTCGCCGCCGTGCGCCGGCCCTTCCGCGCTCACGTTGAGCCACGCCAGCGCCAGCATCTCGTCCTCCTTGTCGCTGAAGTTCTTGGTCCGCTTCTGGTTCGGCCGCACCGCGCGGGGGGGCCGCCGCCGCCACGGGTAGCGCCTGCGCCTCGATCGGCGAGCGCTGCTGCTGCTCCTCGACTGAAGGCTCATCGCCGCCGCCGCCGTAGTGCGCAGAGGGCAGGCCGATCACGTAATGCCCGTTCCCGTCCATCGTTCCTATCAATTCAGTAAACCGACACATCGTGTTGTTGAATTGAAGATACTACATGTGAAGAAAAAAAAGAAGAGGAATGTTGGTTTAGCTGGAATTCAGTTATACTCAATCTCTCTACACAGCTACTACTGCTGCACAGGAGGCGGCGGGTGCGGCGGTCGGGCGCTGTCGATCAATCCTTACAAACGGGAAGTTTTTTTTTTTTTTTTTGCGAATTTACAAATGGGAAGTAGATCGCTCATTCTTCTTTTTTTCTACTGAATCTTAACGATCATCCTTACAAATGGGAAGTAAACAGTGAATCTCGCACACATTTTTTTTTTCTAACGAATCTCGCCACATCTTTATTTTCTATTAATAAATCTCGCCACACATTTTTTTCCCCTACTGAATCTCGCCACATCTTTAGTTTTCCCTACTGAATCTCGCCAAAATCGAGATGGAACGTTTTGTGCGCCGCACTGGAGTTTCGCTGAACTTAACACAAACAAGTTTCAGAGATATGGACTCAAAATAGGCTCATGTATACATAGGCATGAGACGTCGAAAGATGCATAATTTGTGTACAGCAAAATCCATCGATTCACCCACAGAACAAACATGAAATCGCGCCATGGTATATAAACTGTATATAACAGCAGCAAACTTTGCTGTTCCAATCATATTTATAACTGATCTGCGTACTATGAAGATGATGACATATCCATTATTTATACCGGTAAAACTTCTGCCCTCAGAAGAAATTTTTTTACAAAGAGACGATAAACAGAAGATGAAATCGGACTTTCCCTTGCCCACACGCACCACCACCATTTTTATCGAGCCAATACATCAAATCACCATTCCAGGTTTCCTTGCAGCTGTTTATGCAGTGGTTGAGAAAAAATGACAGCATCGAGTTATTGCACTTCTGCTCTGCCACCAGACTGACAACCTGAAATCGCATGGAATCGCTAACATTCAGCATCTGTTAGTTTGATCCAACCAAGGCTCTAAGACGAGATCTATGTGGTACCTTTGAAGATGAAGAATCGGCATGTGTAAGCCTTCTTTCTGAGACCCTTACATGTCCTAATTTGAACCAGATGTCGCGACACAAGGAGCAGAGGCATTGCTAGAACTGGTACTCATAGTGGTAGTAGTACTACCACCACTACCAGCAGCAGCAGCAGCAGCAGCAGCAGAGTTGCTCTCTGTAATCCTTTCATTGCTTGATTCCGTAGCGGGAGGAACTTCAGAAGTGGATGCTGTTGGGCTATCAACTGTTCTGCTATTTCCTCTAGTTTCCAGACGCTCCATCATCCGTGACACGGACGCGATTCCAGCATTAACTTCTCTTCTCACTTCAGAACCAAGATCCGCCACGGACGAATTACGTGAAAAGAGTCTCTCCTTCCACCCTCGTGTACTCTTTGTAATAGATTCTTTGTACCTGGATCATACAAAAGTATTGCAAAGCTTTAGGATAAAAATTCATTATGCTAGAAGGCTCAAGGCAAAAAAAAATATTGACAAAATTACAAACTATCCATACTTCATAGAGACAGCATTTAAGCGAGACTTCAGGGAGTCTGAGAAAGACTGAACATCCGATGGTCCAGCCCTGTCTGGAGTTGACTGTCCAGTGGAGTGTCTCCTGATGCATCAGTAAGTCATTTAGTTAGATCACCGCAAAAACTAACATGAGAAAACAGTATCTGAATATAGACACAGTACCTGTTAAAAAACCGAGGACTCGATACAGGAGTGCTATTTCCGGAAGAAACGACAGCATCCTGTTCAGCATCATAGGTAAGCATCCTGGGACTTTGGTTTCCCGCATCTCCAATGCGAATAGCTCGTGGAGATGACTCACTAGCTCTAGGGGTGGCAGGATTTGAATCATTTTCTCCCTCCACATGAGCAGAAGATGTAGACATTGTGCCAGCGGAAGGTGAATTTGGATGTGTCGAGAAAACTAGGAACTGTGGGCGACCATGAGAGCCAGATCGTCCCCTGTGCCCCTCCCTTCTTCCAAGATGGTGTGCCCTTCCCATAGCAGCAGCAGCAGCTAGATGTTGTAGTATACGCTCTTCAAGCTCAGCATCATTACCAACAGGCAGCTGCACAAGCATATGAAGGTAATCAGGAAAAACTTAAAAAAATGACACAAAAACCAGCAAGTAAGAAGAAATGTATTATGAAGTGGTTTCGTAACACATACATGCTGCAGCTCAAAATCCCCAAGAGCAGGATGATGAAATATAGTTGTGTTTCGAGTTTGATTGGTTCTTATATTCCTCTCACGCTCTACTGCCTCGAGCAGCTCCTGACTGAGGTATCAGTAAAACTAGAATTAGCCTGGAAGTAACTACTTAATGGTAAGCATCATATTTGCACAGCCAAGAACTTGCCTGGTAGGATCCTTCATACTAATAGGCTGCCAACACATTGGGCACTGTGAACTTCTCTGACACCTATACAACATCCCATCAAGCATTAGCATGAAAAAAATTGAACAGAAACCAAATATAAAAACAGTCCTGATCTGCGAACCATTCCACATGCATGGCTGAAATTCAGTGCCCTCGTACATACAAAATATTTTTACAATATGGGAAAGAGTGAAATCTAATTTCTACCAATAGCATGACTCCAGCAACAGTGATCAGTGTTAGAACCAGACAGAAAAATAAGGAGAGCATGCCAACCACAACAAATAATTGTACGTCCCTGCATTTTTATTACAACTGTTCATAAAGCTAGCGTGGAAAGTGTTTGTTGAGCATACGATGTTATGACTACATTTTGTCAGTAACAATGCAGTACAGTTCAATAATAGACCATCCCAAGTCTAGAAAGCTGTCCAACTATAGGGATGACAAAAAACCAAATTTAGCGACAAAAATTTTCATGTGGAAAAGCCATACTAAACAGTTGTCCTTTCCAGTACCAATCAAATATTACAGTCTAAGTAAAGGCAACAGATATGGTCAAGTAAACCACACAAGTTCTTAAGGCATGGAGATTTCAATGTTCTAAAATGTGCCATTACTGATAACCACTAACACATGTGCCCAGATGAATTACTGATGGAACTAGGTATGGTTCGTGTGCAAGGTGGGAATAATATAAAAAAATGTAACATGTATGATGCATATATGAGAGCTAGTACCATACCATTCAAGAATGCATTGGAGATGGAACTCATGTTTGCAGCCAGTCAACTAGAAAACAAAGCAAAAACAAGAATTGGTTACAGATATAACCCCCTATATCCAAAATAGCTCAACCAAATAAATGGCAACTTACTGCAGAAGGGTCACTCTCACAGAAAGCCTCAAGGCAAATGCTACATGCATCATCACAAGCGTCCTGAATGCCACCCTCCACAAAGGCTGCAGCAGATGACAAACTCTCCATCTTAGCTTTCTCATCAGTTTCAGATGCCATTGCAATGGAATCACAGCCCTGAAACCAAACAGGCAAAAAATAGGAGTTCAGAATCAATAATTTAATTTCTCCATAGCCAAAATATTGTAGTTGCTGAGTTGAGAGGAAAGACAAATATGTTCAGCTATTCATTAGTATTTATTATAAGATCAAAATTCCTAACAGTATCCAGAAAGTTTTGAGATATTCAAGTTATCTTATGCATCTTTTATTAAACAGTCCAGCCAAGACACTAATCACACTACGATGAGGGGAACACAATACTAGGAAATTATCAATCTAAAACAATTCTATCCAACAAGTTCTACATAATAACAACATCAACAAAGCCTTGACATGCAAGCAATGCTCTAGAAAAGCATTAGCAACCTCACAAAAATGCACACCTTTTTAGTAAATCAATCTAATCATTAGAGCAGCAAAAAAAATCAGAAGGAAAAGTTAATGGCACACAAGAATTATCTGTCTCAGCCAAGACATGGGCTCAGCATAAGTACTCCATAAAACTAGCAAACACATGAAAACTAATTTCAGAAATCAAAATTTAGGTGCAAAACAAAAGATCACTGATTGTCACTGGTACTGATATCTTGCTATCAAATCATTAGACCTTCCACAAAATGGAACAAATGCATCTCAAGTTTTAAGGTGTAACAAGCAATAAAATAGTAGCGATACCAACTTCTTCAATTTATGGTATGCACTCTGAATTACTGAAACCACTCTGAATTCCCGCACCCAGACCCCCAAATTCCCACCACACAACCCCAACCAGCTCACCGCGACGACGACGACGACGAAGACGACCGCCCCCCAAATCGCCCAGGACGAGCAGGCACGGTGGCACCTACCACACGGACCCGAATTCTCCGCGAAGCAAACCCCAGACGATCCGCTTTCCCGAAACAAACCCAACCGCAATTGAAACGGCCCGAACCCTCGAATCGCCGCAGCAGCAGGACCCGACCGGCCACGCCGCGGTCAGAGAGGTGAGGAGGGAGGCACGCGGGGGGATCTGGCTTTACCAGGCACCGCCGGGCCGCCGGCGACTCCGCGCACCCCCCGATCCGACTCGGATTCGATGCGTGTGGCGTGGGGGAGCCCGAAACCCTAGCCCTCTCTCTCTTCCCCCTCACACTCTCTCCCCTTCTCGCTGTGATTGTGATGAGGTGTAGACGATGGGGAAAGGCAGAGGAGAGACGAAAAGGGGTGAGACGAGCGAGGGAGACGCGTGCCTCGTCTCCACTCGGCCCCCACCGCCCGCTCGTGGGCCCCGCTGGCCCCCTCTCTCTCTCTCCACCACCACCACCGCACTCCTGTCCACCGCGCTGCCTCACGCGCTCCCCTCAGCTCCACGCACACCGACGCGTGGGCCCAGAAACGGCTTCGGCCCACGCGTCAGTGACTCACGACTCGACAGCGCGTGGTCGTGCCTGGTTCGGTGGGGGAGAGTAGTTGGTGCGGGGCCACCGCTAGCCTGCTAGGACACGGCGGTGCGGCAGGC